GAAAAAAGGCCTTTGGGAATTCTTTAAACTTCACCTTCACTATAAATTGGAACGTGCACACGATGAGAAAGGTTACACACATAGTACTACATCACCAGCCTCTCTCTCACCCTGTGGCACCATTTGTGGCTTGAGACATTAGGTCTAATTGACAATAGGCAACGAACCTCACCTCGAGTCGAGTATCTCGTCTTCTAGAGTTTGTCCGTTCGCCCGCTCAGTGAATAAAATTGTGGAGCAGGCATAAGAAACGAAGTGACTTGAGGTCCGTAGTCCGCTCGCTTAGAGAGTAAAATTGTGGAGTGGACCCAAAAAACGAATTGTCTTGAGGTTCGCAGTCCACTCGCATGGCCGTTCGTTACCTGCTCGCTCAGACTGAGTCTGAGAGTAATGAACCCGTCCGTCTGCTCATCCCATCTCTAGTCATAATATACATGAGTATTAGTCATACTGAGAGGTATACAATGATATGATGGCTGGTTCAAAGCATCATTGTAAGTTTGTTTATAATTATATGAAAATATTCTGTTATGTATTTTTTCCTGCTAACAAGAACTTGTAAATACTTCCTCTCTCTATGACTGAGTATTGGAAAGATAGGCTTTGACCTAGACAGCTGAATCAACATCAGCAATGCAAATTTTTAAGAGTCTGTGTATATGTGTGTGCTTATATATATTGAAGGAAAATTTTAGCGATTGTAATCATTATGAAGGGTAATTTACGCGAACGTGAATTGCTCACCATTCATGTCAAATTGCTTAGATCATACCCTGATTTGTACAATTGGGTTTCTTCTCAGGTTTTTCACTCCTCAGCTTCCAGGGTAGTCCGCATCAAGTACTTACTCTTCTTGAATGTAAACAAGAAGCAATGGAGTGATGTTTACTTATTATGCTCTATAAAAGTTGAAGAAGAGCAAGCCTGCCCAGGCTAGCCATTTGTTCAAAGCTCTTAATAGATTCCTACCAACAACTGAAGAAACTCAGTGTAAATAATGAAGAATTTTTTTAGAAACAGCAAATGGTTACCTGGCAGGCAAGTGACACTTTGTTCCAGATGGAAAATAGGTCATATTTAAAAAGTATCTATTGCATTGTGGGTTTAAGAACTTTAAAACTCATTATCTCCGGAGAAGGTTTTCACACTGTGCCAAAGCACTCTTTTTGTACGAAACCTGAGTGACATACACGTCACTAAATTGGTAATTAAATCAAAACAACTTGACATATTTTGATAGTTCTTCATCAAATGAAGGAACCCTGTTTAGAAATTTTGGCAACTGCTGAAAATAAATGTACTGTCGCCATCGTAAAGGAATTTGACTGAACTGCTGACAGCGGGTCACTAGCACAGTGGTTCAGACTAAACTGCTGGCAGCGGCTTGCTGAAGATTTTCAGTTAAAGTCTGAGTTAAGCGAGGCAATAAAGAAGAAGAACAAAAAGTTATTATTGTGAGACTTCATGTTTTGTTTTACGACAGCTGTCTTTCTTTACTAAAGTAATCGCAATCTGTTTTTGATGTGTGGTTATTTTAACCGTCTCTAACGGTGTATTGTGTATTGATATTTGATATGTTTGAAAGCCAGCACCCACCATCACAGTTTTTACTACTTGGTATGACTTCTGCCCATATTCTGACAACTGCTGATTAAACGCTTTGTTTTACAGGCCCCAAGTCTTGAACCAACGGTTGTGCCTTCGGTTCAAATACCACAAAACACAAGCCTGATTGTTGAAGACATACTGAGTCCTGCAGGTTTGTTTGTTTAACTTTCATGTGCAGCACTTATTTTATGCTTTTGAAATTGAAAATAGACTGAAAGAACTGTATATTAGTCATGATGTGGTGGAATCTGGCGCTAGTCAGTTTTTGGGCATCTGGAACTATTGGTATCATCTTAAAATCTTGTTCATTTATCTTGCTTTTAATGAAAAAATAACCATCTACCTTGAATAGAAGTCACGTAGGTAAAATTAGAGAGAAAATGGCCAACAAAGTTTGTGACTTCCAAAGCTTGAGTGTCCTTGGAATCAGCTAATTTACATTTATTTTGTGCCTTTGATCAACCTTTTTACAGTTAAATCTACTCGGAAGTGTGTTTTTAAATAAACATGAAAGGTTTTGTGTTTAAAAAAAAAAAGATAAAAATTGCCCAACGAGCGGAAAAATGCTTGTTTCTTTTATTTTGTTACTTTGACGAGCTCTTGACTTCACCACGATGCTTCGCATGTATAGTTTTTAAATGTGAGAGAACTGAATTCGCTGTACAAAATCAATAATTAGTTGATAGTTTGTGTCTCTCATGTCATTATGACATGAAAAAAACTTTTGTTTTCTTTTTTCTTTATAATTTGAGTTTATCGTAAAGTAGAATTGATTTGTACTTCTGACTCATCTATTTTACTGTCTCTTGAAGTGTACTGGTACTGTAAATCATTCAGTTATGCCCTAAATGTTTCAGGATCAGCTCGTAACTCTGTAATCTATGATTAATTTTGATAATGGAGAAATTTATTACATATTGACAATTTTATTTCTATTTTCACCTTCAATTTACTAACCTGTTGGAGTTTTCTACTCTCACCTTTTTGCACTTAATAAGGAACCAGTACCTCTGTGGGGAAGTATGAATTACAATGGTAGGAGATGTTTGAAAATTGAAATTTTCTGATCAAATATGGAGATGAAAGTACATATTTTAGTATATCATAGCTCTGTTGTTGGCGGCAGCAACACTTAATAATAATAGATGGCATTTGTATGGTGCAAATTCCCGCTCAACAGCAATCTATACGCGCTTTACAATCTATATTATTACCCCAGCAGACCTGATAGCATTCTGAAACAATCTCAAATTCCTGGGAAGCATGCAGTGCAAGCTTTTTGAACAAGGGTCAGTGTGTCTCACCCAGGAGCACATTGTTGTGGACACTGTAACAACTTGGTTTAAAGTAAAATATAGTCTGTCATTTCAAACTGTTTGACTTAGTGTGCAATGTTCACAGGCACCGTGGGGTTGCATCTATGTCTTGAAGGAACAAGAAACGGCAGGCTGTGTTTGTTCTTGTTATGTAGCAACACGACCACTTCTCTTATGAAAGTTGTCGCCACCAACTTTGCTTGACATTGTTCTTTAAACTCTAACCCTCCCTTTGTTTTTTAAATTTTTTGTTCTATTTGTTTTACTGATTTAATTTAGAAATGTTTACCTTTAACCTGTTTATTTTTTACATGCCTTAGGGAGCATGATAATCTGCTTATGTTTAGAATAAAGAATTGCTGTTTTTTGGACCTTGGTTTCTAACTTGAAAAACCGTCTTAAGAATTTTTAATGATGGTAGCCCACTAATAAGAAGAGAAAATCATTGTGCATGACACCATATTGAAATTGCACATTGAGATTGATCTTCAAGCATTGTGATGCTGAATTTGGGCTTTTGTTCCATGATTGCCCAGAGAACGAATCCCCTTCATTGTCATCAGACCGCCTTAAATTCTGTGGTGATGGACTTGGGACAGCATCCAACTACACATTTTCTGAACAAGTAGGAAGTGTTGCTCTGTTGTGTAGTAGTGGAAGAGTTGGTTTTTGTCAAAATGTAGAATAGTTTTTTATTGGCATCTAAATATTGAAATATCTTTCAGGATAATCATGGCTTGGTTGAAATGAAAAGCAATGTCTGCAAACTATTGTTTTATGTGAAACACAACTCATCTGCATGGTTATTTTGTTTGAAATCGAAGCTGGAAATGGGACATCTTAGATGGGAGTTGCAGTTATTTCATCTGTTGTGGGAAATACAAGTGCCAAGTCTTTTTGGGAAGTGTACAGATCATCTTATATTTGTAATTAAGTGTAAAAGAAAAAACTGAATGTGCTGGATGCCCCCTCCATTTTGATGACTTTGTCAGTGGGAACATATCTGACAGATTGATCTACTTTTTGCTTTGTGGTTTCATTTAAATTCTTCATTTGTCTAACGAGTGTTGCATGTTTGAAAAAAATTGTTGGTGAGTACATTTAAAGAGCTTTTGAAGTTATTTTGTAATTAGTATTTAAGAAAATGTTCTTTCATCAGATCATTGTTGTGTATTTTGCTCTGTGAATTGTAATCTGGTTCATTTTAATTTTGAACAATCAAGTAATTCCTTTCATTTTATTTTGGTTTCTGTTAATGAAATATTGTCCAGAACAGTTTTGTCTCGTCTCATTTTTTTCTGAACATTTGTATATACGTGGCAGTTATTTAAAATCTCTTTGCAGGTTTCTTTTCCTTCAGAACTGGACACTTTACATGTGTGTAAATCTAATTATTTTGGCAGATTGGGACATGGAAAGAATGTTTGTTAAAAATGTTGCTGTATCTTTACATGAATAATATGTGTGCAATAGTGTCATAGCTTTTAATGCTGTAGTTATTACTTTTTCTTCAGTGCAAAATTTCACATGTTAAAAGAAAAGGTTGTCCTCATTATTAATATGATTGTTTTTGTCCTTGTGTTCACAGGTGTGTAGAAGTCAGCCACTCTTGTACTCAGTGGTGAACCCACCACCTCCTACATTGTCAGCAGTTCCCTCATCTATGAAGGCCTCTGTGCCTCCGTACTTGTCGTCTCTGTCAGAGTCTTCGTCATGTTCTCTGCCCTCGTCGCACCTTGGGACCCACTTGTCTAATAACTCAGATTCCTCATATCACGCAAATCCGACCGTCAACTCAGCAACATTCAAAGATGTGTTTCAAGATATTCGAAAAGGTGGAACTTGATGTTTTTGGCAAAAGCGAATAACTTTTTAAGCCACTGAAGAGGCAGACAATGGAATGGAGTGTTGCATAATGTTGTACACCGGATGTGTTTGTTCCGAGATACATCAAATTGTCCATATATTTGGATTTATTATTGTGACTTTGCTTGCCTGGGATATTTCTTTTTTGATATAACAAGTATTCCACTTTTCTGCCACTGGAAATAAAGGAGCAAGACACAATTCCGTGTGAAGTGATCATTGTGCGGAGTGGCCACCAGCTGTTGTATCTACTGCATAAATGCGACAGCATAACTCTTCAAATATAAGGAAGGCCTTGAATTTCTGTACTGAAAGTGCATTACTGCCTGCAAACGCCCTATACATTAATGAAGCTGGTATGTAGTGTCTTGATTCCTTTTATTTTTATTGCTTGTCATATTTGTCTCCAAAGTGCCCCTTTCTGGACCATATTTCTGTATTATGATTTTGTTCAAAGAGCAAATAGAGGGCTGCAGCATTGCTTGGTATGATATTAACTGCTCTCCTTGTGTGCATCGAATATATATGACAGCATTTGGCTTAATGTAGCCTGCATTAAACATGCGGTACCGACCAGTATATGAAGCCTTAAGGGTCTGATTTATGCTGAGTGTCACACACACTCATAGCCACCAAGCTAGCTGGTGAGGGGAGGGTATGGGAGTTTGGCCTTCTGAAGCCTTCATGAGAAAGCTGAGGGAGTAGAGGCTAAGTTCTGGAAAGGTGGTAGCTTCTTCAGACATTTGATCAACTATGACTGTTCATATGGCAGTGTAAATGTACATGTCTAGTGCAGGTGTTATGAGTTGCAGAACAAACTCTGTCACAAAACTGGCAGCTTAATACTGATCTATCATTTTGCTACGCATGTTATATTGAAAAAAGCATTCTCATATCTTATAATATCTTGGGGGAGGGGGTGTTGATGCTTGTCCTAAAAATATGCAATGGTAACTGTATCTCCAATTTTAATTCTTTTAATTGTCTAAGAGAGTGCAAGTCCTGCTTTGGAAGATTTATCTGTGGGTGGAGTCGTGATGTGGCCACCATCATCTTCATGTTGATAGGCTAGGCTGCTGTAAGTTGCCTTTCATAAAACAAAGTTATAATATTTAGTAATATAGCTACAGTTAAGCAGCCCTGATATGAGGATACTGTAGATTTGTTTGTTGTTTGCAGGTGTTTAGATCAACTGGTGATGTCACTGTAGTGTGCATACGTCTTGCGTAGGGATTCTGTTTTGTGTTACAGTAGACTTGACATCTACATACCTCTTTGCATGAATGGAGAAGGTCCATAATGTCCATCATTTATATATATTTTATTTGTGAAAGTTCGTCTCTTTGGTTGTCTAAAACTTCCAAACCACTTAACTTTCAAATTTGAAAAAATTAACAGTGGTTCAGAATCCTTTAAAGGGTGCACAGATATATTAAGGAGTCTGAAGTCACTGTAGTCTACAGCAGTTTAATTTTAAGTTTTTCATTAGTTTCTTTTAGATCTAATCTTGGGAAAGTCCATCTTCTAAGATGCCATTGTAAACAAATGAGGCTTCCACTCACTAGCAGTGCGCACTGTTTCCAAAATGACTTGACGATTGATTCTTTTAAGTCCATTCATTGAACGAGTGCCCAGCTAGTAGTTAATGATCTTCAGGATTCCTTATCTTAAATTTCTGTTGCCTTGATGGCAGTTGGCTTTGCTGCACTCTCATGGGGTGGTCTCTGATATGAAGAAACAGCTGTTTTTTTAATGTAGCATCTATCTCATATTTGATGCAGTGACCAGTTTTCTTAGCTACTGAATGTACCACATCAGTTCCACTCAGCTGTTTTCTTTTCTTTCCGAGGACCTTTCTTCAATTTGGCTGTCTATCTATCTGATGGCATATTTGTCGGACTTAAATATAATGCCTCTGTACATTTTTCCTCTTCAGTCAATGCCCTTGACTTCGGTATAGGTTTTAATCCCAGCAGTAACATTTATGAATGTAAAATTTGTGGGATTTTATAAGATCATTGAAGCTTTCCTCTTGGAGAAGAAGATTTCCCAGACCTCATTTGTTTAGTTGCGAGTGCTGTAAAACCTCCACTAAAACTAAAACTAAGACCTCATTTGTTCTTTGAACTGATATTGTGGCGGTTCTCGTGGTCTTGAAGTTATGGTGTTCGCCTCTCATTCATTTGGTCTCGGGTTTGTAATCTGACAACGACAGAAAATTTTCTTCTCTCAAATTTTCTCCTTTCATCGCCTTTCCTGCTCTCTAACCATGTTCTGTTGTCTGCTTTTGTCTCCACTTTCTGCCCCGTCCCCCACCTACTTCTGCCCCTCCCTTGGGCCCCAGGCTCTTTTGCAGCCTTTCTTCTGTCTTTCTACTGCTAATCCTTGGCACCTTCTCACTGTTGTCTTTCAGCCACATCCCTGATCTTATGGTATGTAAAATCTAACTCCTAGACTTCTCGGATAAGGATGAAAAATCTTTGAGGTCCCATATGCAAGTTGTTAGTTGCTCACGTTAAAAATCCCCTAGTGGTTCTAAAATCAATATATGAGTAGGCTCTGGCTGCCACATGGGCAAAATTAAAAATTTCCTATCAATTGAAAATATTTAATGTGTCCTGTGTGCTCATATATATGACCTGATGCAGTTGCGAGTGCTGTAAAATACTTACAAAAAAGGAATAAAAAACCAAATGATATTGTGTTGCAAGGAACAAATCTAAAAGAAAAACTAAGTGTAACAGTTACTGTTGCATCACTTTGGCATGAACATTTACGTGCTTGTAATTTTATATCTATGTCATATTGGAGATTAAGATAAGTCAGAAGTCTCACCTCTTAAATAACTTTACTGTGATGAAAGGGACACAAATCCCACACCCTACCTTACCATACAATCAATGGCTATGAGTCTCTGACATTACAGTATCTAGTTTGTGATATGTCTTTATCATACATCCAGAAAATATGTGGTTTTGTAGGGGAAACAAAATTGTGCTCTATGATAATACCATATATATATATATTCCTTTGTGATCTCTGTATTTGAAAGTTTGATTGAAATGGAAACATTTAAAAACTCTTGATATGAGGCATTCAACTGTACCGGTATGAAAGCTAAAAATTGTGCCACTTTTCCAATCGTTTTTTAAATTCGGGAAATATGGGTTTTTGCGAATTAAGTTTGTTTCTTGTTAATGTGAGACAGTTTATACCAATTTTTTAATGTATTTGGTGCTTTTCTTTGTATTTGCATTGCAATTATTTCTGAAAATTGTAGGACGTTCCCCCTACTCCTGTACAATGTATGCATATATATATATATATAACAAAACAGTATTTTTTAGATGTAACGTTTTTTTCAAATCAGACCTCAACTCTTGTGTCAATGCTACATCACAGAGAGTGACCAAAATGTAGCATTCCACAGATAAATATCCCTTAATGTTTAAAAGACTAATGCAGGGTGAGCATATGTTTAATACCAGTATTATTAATATGCTTCATGTTTGGTTAGCCAAAATTACAGCTTTGTTTATAAGCTTGTTAACTGCATAATGTTGCTCTGACCAGAAAAATGGATACCATATATATCATTTCGTAGATGACGCATGCGCTCCAAAGACGTAGGAAGACTCAAGAACCAAAATTTTGGTAGAAATCAAATCTTCACGGAATAAAACGCACTAAATAACCACTTACTATAGTCAAAATTCCTCATTGTATCGCTATTGAAATTAAAAATTAAAAGGTCTTTGATCTCATCGTAATTCATCTCACACTGCTCTCACATTTCATCTCCTCGTCCTTGTCATATATCTCATGGATAAGACGCAAGGCTCCTCTGAAGTCCTGATTTCAGGTCAAAAGCTGCGTCTTGTATGCAGTGATGTATGGCAGCTATGATTTTTCTTTTAGCTCACCCTGTTAAGCAACTTCAAGTAGAGTTGCTCATTTTTCTTGCATTAGTGACAATATGCTGTGTTTATGGGTTTGAGATGTGCTTAAAACATGTTATGCCATTATTCAAAGAGCAGCTGAATTGCTTTTCTGTAATTTTAACAGTCTGAATTTTGTTTTTTGTTACCCTCATTGAAACTCCCGATCGGTATGGGTCCTACGGTCTACAGGGGTCTCAACGTATGTGGGTTATCTATGACTAGTGGGTTCAACTTGTTTTTTGTCCTTCTGTTGTTTCTGTCTTTGCCATCATTAATTGATGATTATCAACCATGTCTATTCACTTTTCTTTAAATAAACTGAAATGTCTCAGTGTTCGTTGAAGGGAAGGGGCTACAAAAGTTGGGCTCTTTTTTCAATTTGCCATATGTACAAAGTTAGCTGTTATAGCTGTCTTCTTTGCTCCTTTTTTCCTATTAAAAATCTATCGTTTCTGTCTGCCCTCCTTCTTTTTTGTGTTTGTTACTCTCTTGTAACACCTCTAATCTTCAGCACTTATATGACCTTATTGTTTTGCAAGTGCCGTAAAACTTACTAAAACTAAAAAACATAACTTGTCTTCAGTGTAATTGAGGTCAATAGATAGGGATTTGAATGGATAGGATCATCATTCCTGGGCAACCGAGAGAAATATTTTCAGAAGGTTGCTTTCTTTCACTCTATTTTTACAGATAGCATGAACTGTCTCATTTCATAAGATTTTAGTACTAAAAATACTAAGGCTTCCACATTTTTTGACTATTAGGGTTCAAATTTCGCATAGTGTCTTTACAGCCATATTGCAATATTTTGTTAACATTATTATAAGCCTAGCTTTTAAAGTTTTTTTTTGAAGGGGGGTGTATATTTTTATACTCCTCCCCCCCCCCCAAATATTTCGTGTTTTTCTGATACAGTACACAAAATAATCTGCTAAAACAACACTATTTGATATGTGTAGTTTTCTTGTTGAGAAAAGTTTTGTATTGTAATAGTTGGTGATCTTACCAAATAGCAATTGAAACAAATTGCTTGAGAAATAAAAAAAGCTTTATGATTTTTTAAAGTCCCAAATTTTGAAGTAATAACCGTTACATAATATATCTCTCAGTTGTCCAATAATGATTTCATCACATTCAAATATCTAGCCATTTCCTATGAACATGCTGAACACAGTGATGACACAAAACATTGTATATATGGAGAATTTAAAGATATTGAAATTTCAGTAGCAAGAATTATACTAAGTAAATCAGGTCATTTTTCCTGAAGGGTAGAGCATATTTTGAGCATAGTTGGCATAGATAATTGCTGTATGGGTGCTTGCAGTTGAAATTCCTTCAGGAATGCTTTTGTGCGACCAGTGTTGCTTAAACTTTCATCTAATTTTTAAAAACAGACTTTACTACATGGATTCCACAGTGTTCAACAGTCTCCTTTTTTGTTATAAAAAGTGTACATATATTGTTTTGAAATACCTTTTGGTCTGTTGTTTTCATTTTTGGGGTCATGAGAAGCAAGAACGCTGTCCACGCCTTGTGATTGTTCAAATGAAACAAGCTAAAGCAATAAATGTGGGTTTGTCAAGAAACTATCTAAATCTTATTATTACTTATTTACTGCTCAATGTAAAACTCTTTTGTTATACATCTCTTTTCAAAAGAGCTATTGATGGAGTTTTACACTGAGCAGCCGATAAGAAGTCTGCAGGACCTTCTTGACACTTACTTGACATGATGCCCATTGTTTCTGAACCATATATGTGATGTGTAGCTTCATGCTCTTTTCTTGTGGTTTGAAAGTCTTTTGTTTGGAGAGACTACTGACAGTTCATTTTTTAATCATACTTAGGGATGAAATGTGAACTACACCAAGCAATATTGCCCAGTAGAAAGAAAAGTTTCTTTTATTAAACACATACTGAACGGTAAAATGTTTTATCGAAAACCCCCGAAAACCCATGAAATACCCCCAAAAAACAACCATATAAAGAATACATCTATCAGGCATTGGTCACCTCATGTTACTGTATAAAAATATATGTCAAGAAAAGCTTTGTGTTAAAAACTATTTTTTGTCACAACAAATGTTGGCTATTTTGCTAAAGTAGTTGTGGTTTTGGCGGTATGTTTGCACTTGACCTGGCCAGGTTTCTTGCCATGGTGGCTGGGTGTCTGCGACAGTTTCTGGCCATTCTGGTAGTGTACCAGGCTAGCTCCTTCCTTGGTGGTCTTCAGGAATGAAGAAAAGTGGCGTTCTTGTGTTTTTTAGGCATCTTCAGCCACTTCTCACTGCTCACAGCAAATTTGCCGAATTCCTTGCACAGGATATAATCCCCCAGGCCCAACAGGGATCTTTTGACTTCCTGGTATTGTCGGTTGACAAGGTCCTGAAGTGTGCGCACCTAGTCTGGCAATGTCTGCCCCTTTCAGCTGATCGCCTG